ACTCACACCCAACTCTTCGTTTCCTATTTCGGTCCCACTGGACAGACTGTCACCTGTTGGCATTCAGCTGTTTTCTCAGTGTGAGTTCGATCCTTCTCCATTTACTTCTGCATATTTGTTGGACAATAAGTTCGTTGGAGTAGTTCCTTATTGTTTATCCTCTCTGGTCATCCAAATTTCAATACTGAGCCCAAGCAGCTGTTGACAAAAGTCTGCTAAAGCCTTTTGGAAATACTTTCTATGAAGTACTTACCAAGTCTTTGAACCACGTAGAAGCATTGACCTGACATTAGTATTGAAATTTCGAATCTTGTTTCTTATGCTAAGTGCAATAAAATTCCACACCGATTCCAGAGTAATGAAAGTCTGTCTTACTTTTCTGATACCGCCTCTGACAATGTTATTTGTGTCCCATGTATTTGAAATTATACTACCGAGGAAAGTGAAGAAGACGACTTCCTTTACATTTCTCCTATTCATGGTGATTTTTGTTGTTGGTTAGGTATTTCCCTTGCAGCGGTCTTCTCTGCGATCGCTTGAAGTCCTGTCTTGGCTGCAACTTGGTAGAAAATCTTACTTTTCATAGCGTTCACCAGGTAAATTTGAATTATCCACATTAGCTCACTATAGTTTGCCTCATCATTTTAAGTTGGATTACACTATGAACCCATATTATTTACATTAACTAAGATGTGCATGATACCTGATTTCATCCTAGTTTGCTGTCATTTAGTCACTAAGTTGAGACCTAAGCACCCATAATTTCAATACTCGTAACAATTTGCCTTATTTAGTACTATAGCAGTTCAATGTCACTTGTTAATAATTGTTCTTATATCCAAATTTTAACTGGTAATAACAAACCACCTGCTTAGTGATTCCAACTTTTCCCTGCTTCTTCACAAATACTGATTTTTGATGCAATCTCCATGGAACTATCATACATACACTGACTGTTTTAAATTTGTCTAGGCGTATGTACAAAAGTACCATTTAAGGATGTAACGAAAAATAAAAATTAGACAGAAGTGTAAAACGTGTATTCATTTAAATATATTCGAGTGATTCTAATAAAGTTATGCCAAATTGTTTTTAAAACATTAAAAACCCATTTCGTAATCCAATTCATTCTATTCATACAATAATGGCTATACATGAAACTTACTATACAGCACAACAGCATTGCGAATTGTAAATTTGAACTTTACAAGTTTACACAAAAGATCGGATGGTTCTTCTGGGTTTAGTTCCTACATTTTCTTTTCTTTTATGACTTACCATTAATTACTTGAATGTCAGACATTCTCTAGTGGTCTGATATTATCTTTAAATGATCTCTGTTGTTTCTCTTCTTACGCTGAAGTGTATTATGTTTCTACATTAAAGTTTTAACATTTTATTGGTATATGTATATGTATATACAAATGCTATTTATTCTATATTTTTAACAAATGATTTTATAGATTTGCAACAATTACCTTTTATCTAGATATTTTATTATTTCTCCGTTTAATGTTCGACATTTAATTAGTAGAAGAAAAAAACAATAGCGAAATAAAGCCTCGTATGCATTTGCAATGAAACTTAGTATTTTAGGAAAATTTATTCTCTTTTTTTCATCTGTGTCAACATTATTGGTAGCTGAGTTATTCAGTAGTACACAACGAACTTACAAATGGCAATTTTTCCACTAGAAATTGCTTTTGGATGATGTTACAGTGGTTGTTGCGTCGGTAGTTCAGTGGTAGAGTGCTGGCCGACCATGCACGTGGTCCGGAGTTCGAGTCCCGGCCGGTGCACACCTTTACCTCTCTTAGCCGGTTATAATTCCGACAGAGAGGGGAGGTTGGGCGTGAGGCTAGAAACCCCACCCCGTAAAAAAGCACCACTGCTAATAAAAATACAAAGCTGTAGCTTGAAGTCCTATGTTCCACTAGGAATGCAAAGGAATAAAAAATAGTGGTTGTTGCGGCGGTGAAGTTTAGGGCATTTATTTCACTTTATTGTTGGACATTTTTATCCTACATATTCTTAAAATAATTCAAAGTACTCTTGAAGTATTCTGAAGGAGACACTTTCGTAAGTGAATCGAGTCATATACAATATGTACATATAAATACACTTGAAAATTAATCAAATGCTCATTAGTGATTGACTAACAGACTGACTTGCATGAGTTTAAGTGGAAGGTCATGATCTTTAGGATCCACCATGTAGGATTTGCGAATGTACATTGCTTATGACATAGATTGATGTCGGCAGTAGTTATTACGAGTTGACGGAAGTTAGGATTCATGAATCCTGGGTCTAATCCCTAACAGGGTCATTAGTATGCACTACTGAAGAGTTCAAGTTCAGAATGAAACGATCACTCAGTGCATCCTTGATTCTCAGCGGTTTTCTAAATGATGTCGGTTCGTGAGAAAATCCACCTGAAGACATATATATGCATTGTTACAATCTCTCGTAAAGTCGTATGATGAATATCCATACGGTCAAGGAAGTTATTTAAAAGTGACATTCAGCTGATATAGGTTCTGGAAACGAAGTTTAAAAAATGCAGGAGAAAATCAAAAAAGGTTGTGGATGAGAAACACAAATCTTAAGTACCCTGCCTATAGTTCTTATACGAAGTGAATTGAAGAGACTTAAGGCACAGACATAAAGCAAATCACTACTAGGATATGATGAAATGAGAGGTGTATCCATCATTTTGAAATTTAAAAAATTAAAATATAAGAGTTGGTTCTTTACACTAATGCCTGGTAAGATACGTTGACAAAGCTGGTCGAACCAACTAAATCTTCTTCTGAATTTACTCACGTATCATCCGCCTGAAATCCCTCTTGAATTTTCGCTTTCCACACACTATTATTATTGATTTTGTTAAAGGTAAGACATTTCTTATATCCCGAATTAAAAGGAATTTATTATATCAGCAAAGAATTTTAAGACTAAAATATGAAATCCTAACAGATTATTACGCATGAAATAATTTTTATTCAAGATAAACATTACTATCATCACATTATCACATTTGATTCACTGCAACTCAATAAAATTTTGTCATTTGAAACAGTTTTAAAAGTGACTAATAGTCTCACATCTACTAACTTTCTAACTGATTAAAAATGCCCATTAAATTTTCAAAAGAATGGATACTGAACAAAGAGTACTCTTTTCGATAACTTCATCATCAGGCTCTACAGTTATATATACATTATAGTGAATGAATGAATCGTGTTATGAACAACATTAATGTTTAAAAAACGTCGAATCATTAATATTCATTGTGCGTCGGTGGCATAGCGGTTAGGATGTTTGCCGCCCATGCACATGGTCCGGGGTTCGATCCCCGGCCGACCCACTCCTTTGCCTCGCTAAGCCAGAAATAATGCTGGTGAAGAGGAGAGGTTGGGCATGAGGCTAGCAACCCCATCCTGTAAAATAAACACTGCTACAGAAACTTCAAGCCACTAGCTTGAAGCCCTATATTCCACTGGGGAACGTGAAGGAAAAAAATAATATTGATAGATTACAGCTCAATAGCATCAACATAAAATAAGCTGAATGTCAGAAGAAATAGGAAAGATAATATTACAAATTCATGAATTTATAGTCTCTACTGAAGACCAGGGCAGTAGTAGTGGCTGGACTTGCTTCTTTTGAACACAGAGCACTGGTTGTTTGAGGCGAATTGCAATAGCCTCTGCTGTTTGGAGCATGCGGTGCTTCGATGATTTTGGCAATTTATTAGGCACAATACCATATGTTACATAAGTAGTCAACAAAAAATCTGCATTTTTTATTACTGATTTCAATAAGAATGAGTAGTATATACTAAACATTGTTAGAAATGAAAATTTTGAATAAAACATAGAATCAAAACTATATAGGAAAAGCCTGTTGCCAGTTTAAAATGTAAGCAAATACCCTGGCTCTAGCAGTTTCATATTCAATACTCTTTTCAGTTCATAACCAAATACAAAATCCCCATTTCGGTCACTTTTATATGTTTATTAATTATTAGCATAATTGTCAAGTTTAATTTTGGTTGTATTATTATGCTTCGTTTCGAATTACCAAGTCGACAGATAAATCCACCTGATATGATATATTATTTGGTATTCACATAACTCGATCTTTCTCTTTACTTCTTAACGCGTGCAGATTATAACTAACCTCTGAACGACTATAGAACATTTTCTGATTTTTTGTAACTTGAAAAATGTTATTGTACATTCAACAATAAAAATAAGCCAAAGTAATAAATTTATCAGTGTCATTAAATATGTTTTAATAGTCATCATATTTAAGCAACAAGCTTCAGAGTTAAGAGTTTAAAAAATTGCATTTTCATGGTTTCATGCTAGTATATGTGGCCTTTAGCACCAGGTATGTTTCTTTTTTTTCTAGTATCCTAGTGGGGGTCATTCAGATTGGTGTATTTTGGGTTATGCTTTAACATCTTTCGAAATAAACTACTTCTCAAATATTCACTCTTTACATAGAATCGTCCGAGTTCTGTTTCCAAAGGAGTTTAGACTAATGACAATAAATTACAATGATTTAGTGAAAATGTCATCTACACCCGGACAGTTCGTTCTGAGTAACATCTTTTGTAAATTAAGTGACCTGAAATGAGCACTGTGATAAAATCGTCTGCTTGTTGACATGAATTTCTTCTGAGTCTAATGTAAATATTTATAAGAGAGTCAAATGAGAGTCTTGCTTAAATAATAACAACCATTGTGTAATTAATAAGCCTATAGCTCATGGCTATAGCCAGATTTACCGTCATCATTTGCTAGAGATATTCATATTCAATGTTGTGCAATTCTCATCACCATTCTGGTAGAAATTCACTTACTGTCAGTTTCATTTCAGCTATTATTTGAAAAGGAATACTACTCTTCCTTTATTTTTACTCTGTACATGCTTAGTTTTAAGTGGTTACATATCATCTATTCTATTTCTATTTCTAATATTTACTATTACAGACGTGTAATAAAATTATTGATCCATGTGAACAATATATGACATATAATGAAAGAGCTTATCATAAAAATTGTTTCACATGTGCTTCATGTCATCAAAGTTTGGCCGGTAAACAATTCTGTATTAAAGATAATGCCTACTATTGCACTGATCATGTTTAAAGCTAAATGCAATTGAGAAAATAAGGTGAGTACTAGTCTGGTTAGTTTATTTTTGTTTTTACCGTGCATTCAGAAAATTTTATTGATATTATGTAGTTTTAATTTAATTGAATTCTTTTTTAGATTTTCCCGTCGATTGATTGGACCGAAGTGCTCGGTCTCAGGTTGACATGTCGGCTTCTTGTGCAGATGCTTCGAAGATGTCTGGGCATTTAATTAGAATTTAATTTGTGGATGGTGACTAGCAGTGGAATCCAGGATGCGCATTTCGTCCTCGGTGGGAACATCATCACTCACTGGGAAATGCAGGCATATCCAGATGACGAGTCCCAAATAGGACGAAATGCGCATCCTGGATTCCACTGCTAGTCACCATCCACAAATTAAATTATGTAGTTTTATTTACTTTTTATTGACTTCACAAATTGATCTTCAATGATATAGTGAGGTTATCCAATTTGTTATAATCTAGTGTGAAAGTGAATTTCTAATGTTGGCTTTGAATGCGTAAACAACGTTTAACTGAACTATGGGTAAGATGGTTGTTTCTGTTTTATAATATCTGAAGTCAACATAACTTCTTTAAAATCAGCGATAAGTTCATTCACTTTAAGTAAAGCATTAGGCTTTATTTATGCTTTTCTTTAGTAAACAGAAAACAAGCGGTACAATTACAGAACGTAATAACTGCAGTGTGAACTGAATGAGAATATTTTTGGTGCATTCGACATCCAAAAAGCAACAATGAACTAAAAGAGGTTTGAAAATGAATCAATAAAATTAAACCTGTAGTACACAGTCTACAATCAAAGTAGAATAAAAAAATGTCTACAAATATCTTTATAGTTTTGTATGACATAAACAATGATTTTAAGCCGTAAAACAGTAATTATTAATGTGGTAAAATGCGCATAAACACTTTTTGGGAAGGTTGTTTACGATATACAAAATTCTTATTGTCTTAAAAAACAACTGAAAGTTCAGAAGTAAAATTAACTATTAACAAATTTTAGGTAATAAGCAAAAAGTAAATGAAAGTAGCCATTTTATGATGCAGGGTATGTGAAATAACAACTAAGAAGCTGATAGAAGAGGGAACGAATACAGGACTTTAGATGAACATAGAGAACACGGTAGTGATGAAGATACTTAACCAACCAACAATTATTATCAGTCACCATCAGCTGGAGAAATCTAAAGGAGGTCATCTCCTTCACTTACCATAGCAGTGATCAGAATAAAAGGTACACCTGAACTACTCTGAAGTCGGTGTGGAAATTCACTGGACTCCTCAGCATAAGGAACTACATCCAAATTTTGAACGCTAATGTCAATTAACTGCTTGTATGTCGTTCAGAAACTTGACAGTTTATGAAAACTACTTTCAACAGACTAGGACATGCTTTCATCAGCTCATGCCTTCGCCTCATACTGAAGATAACATGACCTGTTGCCCAACCAGTTTGTAGAAGGGAACACAGATCAATCCGAAATGTGTTAAAAAGACCATCTTGTGGAGTGGAGCCAAAATGGAAAAAGACTAGTAAGACACAGGTCCGACTGTGACATTGCGGATATCGTGTGAGGACGAAACGGAAGTATGTGGTCAGTCATGGAGTAAAAACTTATAAAGACTTCAGAGAACAGAGTGGAAATCCGATGTGCTGCTGAAATCCTACAAAATAAAACAATTTCAGTGAAACAGTTTTATTTAAGGGAACACAATCTAAGCAATTATGTGTTTTTATTAATTTGTCATTAGGCTTTTTAGCTACATGATGAAATTACTAAGCATTGACATTTGATACCACTGTGATAAACAGCATAAAATGACTACTTGGATTATAAAAAACACTCGCTATTATCTTTATTATACTATGGTCACCTTGATTATTATCCACTAGCTCATACTATTATTATTAATCCCTTGGGTTCCAAGTGGAGCATAGGGATTCAACAACACATCTTCACTTTGTTCGATTCTCTGCTGTCCTCTTCAGCTGGGTCCATGACTGCCCATAATCTCTCATCTCCTCCTCGCACAGTCTCCTCCATGTCACCCTAGAACGACCCACTCATCGCTTCCCATTTGGATTCCACTCGAGAATTGGCCTGGCGCGCGATGTCATTCGATGGCCTCCTCATATACTTGAACTTTGATTCTATATAACACATTGGTGTTAAATGTCTATAGTCAGTAATTTTTCTTATGTAGTTGTAAAACCAGATGAGAAATTACTGAGAATATATATTTGCTCTAATTTTGTTCCCTGATTATCGTAATGAGAGTAATATAAATATTCTTTTTAAGGCAAAGTAAAGGAATTCTAAATTTGCTTTGTATCTCGCACATGTATTGCAGACAAGGCACAAATAACGTGGTTTAAATCAAAGCATGTCGCATTACAGATAAATCCACAGTACTTAAAATGAAACAGACTGCCCCTCTTTAAATGACCCAATACCTATTCCACGTCCCCATTCTTATTCTTGCTTTCATCGAGAGGAGACACATCGGCTGGCTGACTGGCTTCCCGAAGGCTCGCTTTCACCAGCCCACTGTGTCATTTCGCCTCTCCGATTCCAGGAAAGAATAAGATTGTTATTTGGAGTTTTTGTATTTTTAACATATTTTTTGTGCATTGAGGTTTCTCTAGCAGTTTGATAGCTTTTGCGGTGTAGGGTCGCTAGGCCCACGCCCAACCTTCCCTCTTTACCCGGGCTTGGGACCAGCTAGAAAACTAGCGAGCTAGTTAACTAGGCGAGGTTACCCAATACATATAGAAGAGCGTAATTACTGTTCAGTCTCCAGTTACTAATACAGAATTTTAACGTTTTATAAAGATATTTTACAGATTTGCTTCATCACTGAATTCACGAAGAAAATATTCAATGATTTTAATATTTCTCAGAATGTTAAAATTCCTATTAACATTAAGTCGAAAAACCAAACAAAAAAAGACTACGCAATTCAAACGAGAGTAGAGTGCATAAACAAAGTGATAAATTACAAGACATTGTTAAATATATGTAAATATATACTTCCCAAGGTATAGCACTCGGGTGGTAAACACACATATATATTAAGTTCTGGTCACTAGAATGAAAATTCAACCTCCAAGTTGAAATATGCGTGATCCGAAAGAAAAATGCATGAACCACCGACACGTTAATATAGTTAAACAGGAATATTAATCACATTTATAAAAAAAAAGAGGAAGTTAGATTAAATAAAAGAACAGTACACTTTTTGGAACAATCTTTCCGCTTTAATAAATATGTCCTCAAAGCATTGATGAATATTATATATATATATATATATATATATAAAATGTTATAACAATACTAAAGGTCATAAACACTATTTCCAAATGAACAAATAATATTGCACAGATATTTTGTTTAAATGGAATTAGGTTAAATAATCATAAAATTATAACAACCAACCAGTTGTTATTCTTTTCACAAAGTGTTGAAGGGTGTAATTGAAACTAATAAGACTCTTTTTCGCTCATATCTATTTGACGAATATGAATAAAATAGCGCATTTCAAGAAAGCTGTTGTTGCATTGGTATAATAATACAATGACATAAATCTAGAAGGGGATTCAAGATTTTAAAAAGTCAAAACAAGCGATTCAGCTAGGAGACTTTTTTCAACGAATTTATTTTCAAGCTATACAGTCGTATATATATATATGTTACTTTTTGTAAGTCATAATGTGAATTGCGACCATTTATTTGTGATTATATTCATAGGTAAACATAAAGTGGCAAAACAGGTTATGTAACTTATAGAATAGTTCATGGAATGCATAAATGGTAAAAAGGTGTATAGAGTTATTAAGATTAATTGGTGATTAAAGCATTACGTAATTAGGTGGGGTTTTTGAGAAACAAAATAATTATACTGAATTAAATTATAAAAGAGTGACTGGTGAGACAATACCGGAAATTGATCAAAATGAAAATAATCGTAGCAATCGAAGTAATAAAGGGCAGATATATGGTCTGAATAAACAAGACGAAGGGAGTGGTTGGACAAATTTCTTCTGTATACGAATGTACAGCTTGATAATATATTCGTCGAAGAGATTCTCTACTCTGAGTCACTTATTTGATTTTCCTAATTGAAGGACTTTCACGTAAAGAGATTCGGGACATAGTTTATGCATAGTAAAAGGGGGATTTTATGCGCAGGAGAGAAAATAGTACCATATGCCTTACACCCAGAAATTATTGTGTAAGCATGAGAAGTCTTTGACATCTAATATCAGGCTACAGAATACTACTGTTATGATATATGCATAAACAGTCAACAATTAATCATACAAAGAAAGAAGAGAAAAGCGAAAATACATGCGAATGAAGAGATGTCCAAATTTATCTAACTGGCTGAATAAAACTCCATCTGACAAACTAACAGATGCGCAACTTGCAAGTTACACAGTTCACTGTGAAAGTTATCCAGAAATATAAAATTTTTCAAACCCCTCGGTCAACCAGTAGGGTTCGCTAGCCAGATCGAGCTGATCTAAACACCAGAAAACGGTTTTGATCATTTAAAGCCAAGCTCATTAGCGGTGAATTCAGTCTGATGCAGTTTAGAGAAGTAATTCAGCTCAAACCACTGAAATTCTGGTTGATAACATTTAACATCTTGCAGTTATGACTGTCTATATCAACTTTGATTATCAGGCTGGTGAGAAAAATATCTTACGTTTTTTGATCGCATATCTGAGCTTATTAATATAAGTATAAACTTGGGCACTGTGGTAGAGTATAATTCCATAATGGATAAGATTTTATTTTGATAAATCACACAGTGTAGTACAGTTATATTAACTGATGACGTTTCGAGCACAAACTATTGCTCATAATCATATCAAGTTACTCACACAACTTCTTTCCTTCATTTATATACATGTGTGGAATCATAGATATTGGAATAATCAATATGAGATATGTACATCAGAATAATAGACGAGTGTTATTAATCCATTGCAATTAGATGGGAAACGACGAGTGTTTTTATAGTCATAATAAGTTGATTGTTAGAATGTGTTGATGTGTTTGAATGGAAATAGAATTTTAAGATTATTTATCATCTTCTTCTGATTTGACTGGTGGCAATAATACGAGTGTTATTAATCCATTGCAATTAGATGGGAATGACGACGAGTGTTTTTATAGTCATCTAATTGCAATGGATTAATAACACTCGTATTATTGCCACCAGTCAAATCAGAAGAAGATGATAAATAATCTTAAAATTCTATTTCCATTCAAACACATCAACACATTCTAACAATCAACTTATTATGACTATAAAACACTCGTCGTTTCCATCTAATTGCAATGGATTAATAACACTCGTACTATTATTCTGAATGTACATATCTCATATTGAATTTTATTCCAATATCTAGTCGATTCCACACATGTATATAAATGAAGGAAAGAAGTTGTGTGAGTAACTTGATATGATTATGAGCAATAGTTTGTGCTCGAAACGTCATCAGTTAATATAACTGTACTACACTGTGTGATTTATCAAAATAAAATCTTATCCATTATGAAGGCTTATTAATTAGAGCAAATTAATCTAAGTAATGTGTTTTTATTTCTTTGCGTTCCTAGTGGAATATGAGGCTTAAAAATTTGACGTTTCAGTAATAGTGATCTTGTTTTTTATGAGGTGATGTCGTCAGCTCCATGTGCAACCACTCTTCTTCTCCGGACTTACTATTACTTACTAAACTAAGTGGGGTTTAGGAATGCGTCTACCGGAAATTGAACTAGAACCACGTGTGTGGTTGGCGGACATCCTACCGCTGAGCCACCCTGGCATAGACTGTATAAGTGACTGCGAACATGATTGACTGACTGGTTTCAACGTAGAACTTTTCACAGATGTGCAGCAGTTCGAGTTGCCACACTCCCTGATTGTAGCACACAAAGCAATAAAAAAGGATAAAGAGAGATTCAAAAGAGAGAGATAATAAACAGAAATATGAGGCAAAAGAATGGTAATATGGAAGAACGGTAGAATTTTACCGAGGTGAATGCATCTGCGCCAACCAGTGAGAACGATTTTGGGTCATATTACCAGTTATCTCCAGTCTTTATTGGTTTTTACCATCCCGAAGACCCCAACTAGGAAGCCAGTCTACGATGACCTATATGGCTTAAACTAACTTTTGTGGATTTCATTGACTGATGCCGTGTTTTGGTTTAACTAACACTGGCTCTTTTCCAACCTGACTCTATGTCAGCTAACATTTCCCGTCGAGGAAGTCGATGGTTAAGCATGCGTAACACATGTCCTAACCATCTCAGTCGATGTAACTTCACAACCTCGTCTATTGATTTCCCCTCTTTACCTACGAACATACAAAATCACATTCTACATAAGTGTGAATCAATAAACAAATAATTACTTTTCAGGGGCTTTTTATTTCGTAATGTTTCAAAAATAGCTCAGTGGTAACGTCTCTGACTGCAGCACTGGGTGACGCGGGTCCGAATCTCAGAAGGGACATGAGTTCCTTCAAGGTTGCAGATACGCCTTGCTGACGAGTGCCAACTAGCACGAAACCTAGGTCCAAGGCTTCCTGCCGATTGCCTCCAACCATCTCATATCATCACATACAATGTACACTGATGGCGAGCTACCTAGAATGGTGGTCACATTACAACCTGACTGATAGAATTCAGTCTGCACCAAAGAGAGGACTAGACGCATCACACTAGTTACTAGTGTCAAATCAGAATACACAAAATCAACATATTTCTTGCAATGTAAGTTTCCAATAAGAATCAACTATTACCACATTTCTGTTTATATTCTTAACACTGGTTAAAATAATTAATTTGCTTTTTATTCTCTTTTTAGGAAGATTTAAATTGCATTCATAATGACAAGCAAAATATTTGTTTCTCTCTATTTCTAACATTTTTGTGATTAATTTTTACTCTTTATTTATCCTGTACTATTGAAATAACACATACACACACATACACGCTCACACTCAGATATATAAACACTAATGAGAACATTTAGAGATTAAGGAAGACCAGAGTACCTATTAATATTCTTTAACCAAACATTTTCTGCCTTATCTATCTATCTATCTACCAAGAGCACTATCATACCCAGCCTTTAAGCAACTGTCGTTAGAATTACTTTTTTTCCCCAGCCTAATCTTTCATTAATTTTTCTAAATATCAAGCTGCTATTCATTGCTAATCTTCAATTCTTTATAAAGCAAATGACAGACTTTCTGTACCACTATTTGTTTTTTTTTGAATATATACATATATACGTACATTTCTTTGTATTTTACACTTTTACTGCTGTTAATACCGATTGATAATAGCCGTCAACTGTGCTACTGCTGCTATTACGATGAATAACTGCCTACTGCTGCGATATATAAACAGTGATCAATTTTCAGTTCACTGATAAACGTAATTTTTTTTCTTTGTTCTACTTTGTTTTTCTGATAAAAATTAGATTTAAATTCCATATGAACAGAAATATTTTACATCGCATGTGTTTCTTCTACTACTACTTTCGTCTATTATCGATAATTTGTTGCCATTATTTACTATTTTCAAAAGTTGACTTCATTTTAATCAGTAATGAGGAAACTTATGTATTAAACCACAACATTAGTATGAAGAAATCCAAATATAAGATCAAATAGACTACTCAAGCAGAAAAAACTAAAAGCACAACACTGAAACGAATTCAAAGCAACTCAATGAGTTAAACAATTATCAATGCTATTATCATCATTATATTATTACTACTAAAAATATTTTCTATTGCCTAAAAGAAAATCATAATTACTTAAGCAATGATTAATTTTTATTCAATAAAATAATCATTCAGTTTTCGGTTTATCCTCTTTTTTGTTTAAATTCTCCCCTTTTAATTTTGAGCGTAATTTAAAACTTTATGTGAATGTAATTTAAAATACAGAGAAACAAAAATTATTAGATATAGAAAATGTGTTTTATGAACTGAAGATACGAGTTTGTATGTAGTCACACTATTGTTTTACATACTGAATGAGAACAAAAAGGAACCAGGTAATATAAATTATGTTTCCGGGCTTTAGGTATACTTTGCATGAAAACGCTTGTGCAGCTTAACTTTGAGGTGCTGCAGACTAGAGGGGATTTTTTTTAGAAAATTTGATCAGTGAGGCTGTAGAGTGCCAAAAAGTGATAGGACACATTTCCAGTTCGAAGTTTGATCGTGGATTGATATCAGTTAGAGGACCATTGGAAACCGCGGAGTACTCGATAGATGTTTCGTCCTAGATTGTGACTCTTCAGCAATACGCGTCCACCGCTGTTCGAACCCAGGAACTTTCGATCACAAGTTCAAGCTCGTAGATCCTTCATCCAATAGGACTCGATCCAATGGCCCATGAAATTTAAACTTCTACCAGTTCGTGATTTTAGCGTAACCATCAGCTAATGTCATCGGCGAGTGTTTATCCCCACGCCCGACTTGGTGGACTTTACTGATCAAAATTTCTCACTATAACTCCAGACAACTTCATCCTGTAGACAGTCACTAGTAAGTGGAAGACTAATTTTCAAGAGTTAGTTGGTAGGGTTTTGATTTGTTTCAAGTTTGATCAGGGGTTGATGTCAGTTAGAGGACCACTGAAAACCTGGAAGTACTGGACAGCTGTTTCATCCTAGTATAGGACTCTTCAGTTTATTTACGCTACAAAAAGTTTTAATATTTTCCTGGAAATTCAATGAGTTTACTATTATGTTTTGCTATTTTTGATGGAATGTATAAGGAAAGGAAATAGATGCTAGAAAATGTCAGTCATTGTGGCCACTAAGTAATTTCCCATAACTGTTCAAAATTACTTTATTTTATTATGTAAAGAGGTGGAGGAAAAAGAGGAAACTGTAATAGGTGGAGGAAATGTGAAATGGTCTTCATTATTAGGATAAATACGATCAATCTAATGAAAGGAAACCAGTAATTTGTTCACAGACACTAGGACAGTAGTCAGTTTTTAGCTGACAGAGCTATCAATATTCCATTTTAGTTATGTTGTTGTCAGTAGTTAGCATTCTCTTTGTAAATCTTGGGTAGAAACAAAAGTACCAGTTAATGTAATGTATCTTAGTGTATCTAAACTGCATGACTACCTTTTACGATGCTTATTATGATGTAATCTACAGGGAATCGACATGGTTGTCAACGATGAGATACATTTTTCTTAAACCAGTTAATCCTAAATTTAGAAAATAACCACGTTTAAGTTGAATTTCATGAGCTTATTTCTAGTTACACGAAATCATTCAGTTTTTAAGTCTAATAATCTGGAGGCCATTGGTTCGAATCCTGTTTTTCAATTCACTATTTATTCTCACCCATCACCAATCAACAGTAGTCTGCCAAAGTTGGTCTCATCATTAACACTGGCCAACATCGAACAATGGATCACGAGCTATTAATATATATATATATGTATTTAGATTAGGAGATACTATTGTTTATTTGTAGTTAGTAAACCACTCAGAGATTCTGTGATTTTACTTTCCGAGATCCAAAAAGGGATAGTCAGTGATGCACATAAAAGAAGACAGAGGAGTAAGCGTTTAAATGAACGTGAAGTAAATGTTCAGCAAAAAGTAATTAACTTTAATTAGATGCAAAGTTTCAACTGTTCATTTCTATCAGTTTAAAGAAGAAAAATTACTCAAAACTGAAATTACTACAAGCAACTGTTGAGTAAGTAAAGTTAAAGGAATTCACAGTATAGTATAAGTAAGGGTGAAATCATGCACCAGGCCTTTAAATAGAATTGAATAGGAAACGACGAATTGAACGTAGGTCCGAGGGTGACATGAAGGAGATCGTGTGTGTGGAGGAAAAGAAATCTTATCAGCAGTCATGCAGCAATCAGAGAAAGACTGTAGAGGAAGAGGGAAACAACGATGTACTTTGTTCCATTAGGAACCGAAGGGACGAATAATTTTGATAATCAGTAAAAGTATTGCTTACCTAAATTTCAACTAGATTTATCTTTATATCTGCGTTTTCTCCTAAAATCTCATATATGGTAAATTTTCAGTTTGTTTAGTTGCATTTTATGTATTCACTATGGGATTAAATCTCACCTATGCCTTATAGATAGATAGATAGATACTCTACTCTAATCGGATTATGTGGGTGCATAAAAAAGAGTGAAAACAAGTGAAACATTTTCTAATGTAGAAATAAAATGACTTCTGTCAAGAAAAGAACTTCCTGTTAAACAGTAATTTTTAATTTTTAAGGTTTTAACTTTAAGTTGCATTTTGTTTGTTTTTCTAAAAGGACAATTTTTGTCTTCAGTGGAATAACTGACAAGTATCAAGATTTATGTATTTCTTAAGGTTATTATTATTATTTGTATAATGGACACAGAAAGCGTCTTGCTTACCATGGTATTTTCCTTTCCAAACTCTTTCTCTCTCCTAAGCAAAATGATAAAAAGTAAGATACTGACAGATTTACATTTAATACTTACATTCTCGTCAGTAGTGAGTAGTTCAGGAAGCATGCAAACTGACAATCATGTCGTATGGAAAATAATTAGTTGTGTACTTTCTAACTAACCATTATTGAAAAGACCAATAAGGCTCAACTATTAAGGTGAGCTGAATATTCTGTAATCACCTTTTTGTGTATTCGACAGATATACTCACTAATGAGATAACATTTAATTCATGAAATTCGCTAGCGAAACAAGATGATTTAAGAGAAATATTCCGTTTTAATTCATGTAAATCAAGTTAAGAGTACCGAATAAAGTTATGTATCTGCCAATTTGACTGCTCCTGTAGTGCCAGTTACATAGGCCGTACAGTTAGACGTGTTTATCGTTGGATTTCCGAACATCATCCTGCGTAGTTAAGCGAAGCACAAAAAAAATCCATTCATAGCTCTATTCTGTCTCATCTCGTAGATACAGAACACAAGGCGGCTTTCAAATTCATCTAGCGAATACCAACCAATCTTAACTTTACCTTAAGAGTTTTACTTCTAAATATTGCTGAGGTTGTTGGGATCTACATTAAGAAACCTAACTTAGATATCTAACAGAAGTTGGTTCAGACACTGTCCTTACCTTAGACATAAAGCTCTTAATGATCCCCAATTTATTGTGGAAATTTCCTTAATTTTATTTGATATTCTATTTGCTATTACATTTTTATGCTTATTATAACTTAAGCGTCCTTCTTGAACTGCAATTCCATTTATCTTACTTAACACGTCAAATATATTTAAAACACCAATACTGTTAATGACGATTATTTAAGAATATTCTATATATATATATGAGTGTACAGCCAGAAGAGGAAATTATCGAAAATGATATTCTTTGCTCAATTTCTTTTCTAAGTGTCTGACTGAATACTTTTACTTTATTCAGGAATTCATCGAGATTACAAGACAAGGCCAATAGTACAAGGGGTTTCATGTATCAAGCTATATACTACCGGTTGATTGAAATGAGTAGTAAGGTACCGCTTACATCAACTAGTAGTGTTTGCTAGCCAAATTTAAGTGATCTGAATACCAGACGCTTACTTCGCTCATCTGTGGACGACCTCATCAGCGGTGTACCCGGTTTAACTCAGCTTAGAAACTCCGCAGCGCGTCGGTGGCACGGCGGCAGAGTGCTCGCCGACCACGCAGGTGGTCCGGGGTTCGATCCCCGGCCGACGCACTGCTTTGCCTCTCTAAGCCGGTAGTAAGACTGGTAAGGAGGGAAGGTTGGGCATGAGGCTAGCAACCCCATCCTGTAAAAATAATCACCAATGCTACAGAAACTTCAAACCTCTAGCTTGAAGCCCTATGTTCCACTTGGAACGTAAAGGAATAAAAAAAGAAACCGTGGACCAGTTCGAACCAATTGATTTCTGGCTAGCTACTTGGGAGAACTGGTGATGCCACTAACCAAATTCACAATTCGCAAACTAGCTCTCAATTTTACAAATAAATTCTCAATTCTCTCAGTTCGAGGTAACTATTTCACCATAGTTTCTTTTGGAAACGAAGATTTTTCAGATTACCATGTGTGATTTGCTGGATACCATGAATGGTAATCAAGAAAGCCAGCATAAGTTCATCACGCTATACACTTTCTATCGATTGAGATGAGTAGTTAGATGTCACTCGATCTGCCTAGCAAACACTACTGGTTGTTGTGAGTGGTTGTTTGCTTTCTTGATCACCATTTATGGTATCAAGCAAATCACACATGGTGATCTGAGCAATTTCAGTTTCCGAAGGAAACTGTGGTGAAATAGTTACCTCGAGCTGTGAAAATTGTGAACTAAATTGCAAATTGTGAATTTGATTTAGGGTGTTACACAACCACAAACGATGTCCGCAGGAAAAGTTTGTCCAGTCTTTAATTGTGTCACGGTCTTCATATCTTTCCTACGTGTTTGTGACTATCTCTTAGTAAATAGTTCACTAGTATCAATCTAACATACTCCTTTCTATAGATTTATTGGCTTTTTCTACCTTCTTCACACTTGTCAAGCAGATAATCAACCATATTGCTTCACCATTATTATATTTCAAATGCTTACTTTCATTATAAAGAGTTTCATAGCATCTTTAGAAATCACTTCTGAGCGATTGTATCAACCATGTCGCTGAATCATCTCTTTTAGCCTTCATGATACTAAATTAATAAGTTTCAATCTGATTACATCTCAAGACGTTTAGTTAAATATTTTAGAGAATCAACTTTCTATTGGTTTGAAGCTTCTGTTGATGGTCACAACTGCTGAAATGCAGCTGTTTACGGTAGCTTCGTTATCTTATTAGTTTTAGATCTATGGAGGTTAGTAATGAACATTATTATTTGCATTGGGCTCAAAGTGCTCATTGACCGTTATGAAAATGGATATTCTCCTGGTTGCTGTTTCGGTGTTTTTTGTAACCACATTTACTTATATGTTTCATTATCTATAGAGAAAAAAATTTTCATACCTCCGTAGATGCAGATGAATAAGTGAAATGTGTGCACTTTCACCATTCGTCAGATTGTTTATATAAATAAGTCAATCAAGTAGAAATTAAAAATTAAATCCTAAATT